AGACAACTCTAAGCCAAGTACACCGGCTCTGTAGGTCCACACACAGAGTCTTAATCTCCATTTTACTTTCCATGCACCACGAGTTCCCTTTCAATTTATTTATTCTCTTTCAGTGCCTCGATAAGCTACCTTACATATATATATATATATAATATTTATAATATAATATATAAATATATATATATATAAAGTATATATATACACACACACATATATATATAAAGTAAACATATATATATATATATATATTTTGGCACGGGGGAAAATCATTAAATGAAATGTAATATTAAGTCATGTTTCAAGAGGAAAAAAGAAAAGAAATGGCCACTGAGGTGGATATCATTGAAAAAGACAAAACCAAAGGGAAAAAAAATGGCATAGAGCTTCCCGAAACTCTCACGGGGTGGTTGCTATTTTCTAGGACAACTCTCGAGTGTGGGTAGCCTCCCTGCAGGCTGGACTCCGGTGTCCCTCCTCATCAACTCTGCGTCATGTCCAGAGACTGGCCCGGAGTGGGGGATCCAGAACTCAGGCCTGCGTTCCAAGCTGGCTCAGGCGCGGGTCCCGTTCACAGGTAGTCGTGCCATCCTGCCTGAGTCTGGGTGGGCTTGGAGCACAGCCAAGGCTGGCGAAGACCACTTGAGGCAGCCAGGTTCTGCCCCCACCCCGAGGGCACAAATGAGCGTCCCCTTGCGGTCCCTGACCCCAGCTCCCACGGAGTCCACCCGGTACGGCAGACAAGCACAGACAGCACCCCTCGGCCAGGACAAGTTCAACTCTAACCAGGAAAAGTGATGGGGAGGGAAGGGAGACACACATTTAATTTAGGAAAATAATGAATACTTCTTTGGACACTTCTGGAGTACTAACTGGGATCTTTCCTAGGAGTCCTAAAGACATTGGAGGCACACGCTTCTGTGTTTCTTTTGACATTTCCAACTGACCACTGTTTTTTTCATCGGGCATGTGATTTGGGGAAGCAACCTGGAAATAATTCGTAGTCCACACGTAACGTAAAACCCTGAGTCCTCTCACCACAAATGAACTAATGCATTCACTGCACCCTCCTGCTTCCCCCAACGTGGGATCCTTTTGGAATTTTAAAATAAAATAAAACTTTCCTTCTGTATCTTAGTCCCCCATTATTGCCACATTTCACATAAAACAATGACGAGGAGATGGTCGGAACAACCCACACCTATACATATATCCGTACCTATACATACGCACATGTATGTAATGTGTACACGTATAACACACACGTGCATGCAGACATATTACATAGGAATGTGATATGTACATATATGCACACGTATTACAAATATATGTTCCTGAGCTGCACGTATATTCTCACTTAATCCTCACAACAGCCCCGTGAGACGGGCATGATGGAAATTTCTGCCCTTTCTCAGATGAGGACACTGAAGTCAGCAGGGTGAGAGGTCACAGTGGGCCGTGAGCCCCAGAGCAGGACGCGGCTCAGATGAGCAGAAGCGGCTCCCCTGGCCGCGGCCCCTGACAGCAAGAGCGGAGGGCAGGGCCTCTCGGGTGCCAGCTGTGGGCCGTGAGCCCCAGAGCAGGACGTGGCTCAGATGAGCAGAAGCAGCTCCCCTGGCCGCGGCCCCTGACAGCAAGAGCGGAGGGCAGGGCCTCTCGGGTGCCAGCTGCACCTTTGTGTACCACGTACGTCCACGCCTCCTCCGCGTCCACACTTCCAGGGCAGGTTCCTCCCATCCCCTCCCGGCCACTGCTCTCCAGGAGGAGAAAGACACAGCAAGATGCAGAGACAGCAGAGCCAGCGCATGGCAACAATCACGTGGCCTTCTGGGCTTCTCTCCCCGGGTCTCACATGCCCCCCAACATCCCATCTACCCACCTGCAGCTGAAGTCAGGGAGCAGAGACTGTGTCTTTAAACACAAATCGAACACATGCACAAACACACACAGCACATTTTGAAAACCAAAAGAGAACTGAGGCAGTGACTTACTTCCTCCAAGCAAACCTTTTTGACTTGCAGGGTGTATGGACAGCAGTTTACTCTGAGCCCACCGAGAGATCAGGCCACCTTCCTTTCCTCCCACACATCTGGCAGCCCAACGAGGAGCGTGCAGGGGGCCAAGCCACACGGGACAGTGCCACAGCAGGGGCTGGGGACTGATTCTTGCATGGGCTGAGGCCAAAGCAGCCTGGTCCCCGTGCCTCCCCGTGAGTCAGTGCATCCTGGTAGAATGGTGCACTTCCAAGCCCTGTACATGGAAAAGATTAGTATTTTTCAAGAAATCTGGAGGTATCTGTGGCGTGGCATGCATCTGATACATCCGAGATCTGGCATTTTCTCTAAAACCACTGCTTTTGTTCATTCCACTTCTAAAAAGTTGTTTTAAACTGCTCAGACTGCCATAAAATAGCACAGACTGTGTGGCTTACACAACAGAAATGTGTTTTCTCCCAATCCCGGAGGCTGGAAGTGTGAGACCAGGTGCTGGCAGGGGTGGTGTCTGGTGAGGGCTCTCTCCTGGCCTGCAGATACCACCTTCTCACTGCGCCCTCGCATGCCCTTCTCCCACAAGAGAGAGCAATCTCTCTTCTCTTCTTCTTACAAAGCTTCAAATCCCACCATGACGGCCGCACCCTCATGACCTCATCGACCTCATCTAACCCTAATGACATATCAAAGGATCCACCTCCAAATACCATTACGTCAGAGGTTAGGGCTTCAACACATGAATTGCCAGAGAAGGGGAGGACACAAATATTCAGTCCATAACAGAAATTATGTTCACGACATCAAAGGAAAAAATTATTTTAAAATGTTACATGACTCTGTGTGATCAAAGCAAATTTATATAAAGTATATTCCTCGAGAAAGAAAAAAAGGACGTCTAAAACACAGAAGTTAGGCTTGGAAGTTAGGACCCCTCTCTGGAGCACCCCAGAGCATTTTCAAGCCCACCGTGTCTTCTAGATCCCCATGTGATCTCCTCCAGGTATTTCAAAGTACAACAGCCAATACCGAGAGCCAACACCAACCCCTGGTGGCATGTGGGTCCCTTCTAATGGTCGGTAACTGAGAAACAAGATCATCACCAAGACAAAAAAGACACTGACATGAGGCTGGCAGGAGAGAATGATGGCTGCTGTGTGGGGTCGGGGACTGCACGGAAGCCACAGGAGGACAGGCTGTGATCCTCCTCCATGCTCTCAGTGTCCCTGGCACACCCTGCTGTGGGCACAACTGTGTTTCACCAAAATCCATATATTGAAGTCCTAACCCTGGTACCTCGGAATGTGACCACATTTGGAGATGGGGCCTTTAAAGAGGTGATCAAGTTAAAATGAGGGCATTAGGGTGAGTCCTTCTCAAATCTGACCGGTGTCCTCATAAGAAAAGTCAAGGGCTCAGATCCCTGTACCGGCCAGCCACCAAAAAAAAAAAAAAAGAAGGGGAACTTGGACACACACAAGAGACACCAGGGATGCTCAAGCACAGAGGAAAGGCCATGTGAGGATGCAGTGAGACCGCAGCTGTCTACAAGCCAAGGAGAGAGGCCTTGGGAGAACCCAAACCCACCGACGCCTCGATCTTGGACTTCCAGCCTCCACAACAGTGAGAAAACACATTTCTGTTGTGGAAGCTGCCCAGTCCACGGTGTTTTGCTACAGCAGCCCCAGCAGACTAATACACACCTCAGTAAGCCTCAGAGTGGGCCGAGGGAAGCACTGGCCTTAGAATAAGGAGGTTTGGGGTTCAGGTCAAGTTTTGCCACTAGGGTAGTTACGTTCCCAAAGAAGTTGGGGTTTCTGGGCACCACGTTTTCATTGTGAGGCTCCATCTAACATTCTACATGGCTCTACCACCTTTTCATTACAAAACAGACACACCTCGCAGCCCTCAACAGCATGGCCTCCCACAGCAGCATGACTTTCGCCAAGTGACACCACAAGCTACATGCACGTTGCTGCCTGGGACCTGAGTTATTGGGAGAAAAGTCTGTATTCTCCAGGAGCAGGAATTAATGAGTTGAGAAGCAGTGATGTGGGTTTTGTCACCCTCCCTAATTAGTTCTTGTCCAGAGCAGAGATGCTTTTTGCCTAGAAACCTTTATGACTCTGAATGCTCAGGTATTCAGCTACCCCACGCCCCCTCTTCTCACACACACCTCTCCCCTGGGGGCTGCTCTGGCTTGGATGGCTGCCAACCTCCCACCCAACTCCCAATTAAATATGCCGCGCAAGGTCTGTGCCAGATAGAGAAAGCCCTCCCTTGCTAGGGGCTTAAATCACTTGACATGTGCGCGCCAATTTCCCCTTCCATATCACCTCTACTGATTAGCCTTTTCTTTGTCCTTTTTTTAAGAAAATGATTGCAACTCATTATTTTTTTAAAAAGCCTTGATGGGATTTGGCTCAGACACAAAACAATATTTCAACCGATGGCAAAGAACACAGATTGTTCCAAAAGATAAAAGGCAGAGCCACCTAAGACCACCTAGGTGAAGATTCACGGGTGCTGCTCAATGTGCCCAACATCACTGCTCGTGTCCCAGCGTATTTCCACCCGACAGCCGCAAGTTGGGCACATGAATTCAAAGTTCCCTAACTGTCAGGAAAGCTTCTGCTTTCCTCTTGTCTTTTCTCGCTTGCTAATTAACGGCAGCCTAAGTGTGTCCCATAGGTAGAAGGAGAAAAAAGCCACAGTGACCAGCAAAGCGATAGCACTGTCACATCTTTTCAAATACCACTTTTTTCAACCAAAAGGTCCTTGAATAATAGGATATTGCAAATGACCAAAGGAAAAGAGAGCTTTTGAGCAATGAGAAAACTCCCAAGTAGCATTTTGTCTATAAGTTACTCCTGTTTCAGCCTGAAATGAGGTCATTGAGTTTAAACCTCTCCCAGGACCCTGTTAGGATGGCTGTTTATGGCGGGGAGTCTTTCGTTGGCTCTGGGACGCTTCCTTCTCTTGGCCCCGCACGACAGAGAGAAGGGGCAGGACAAGATGTTCTCCCAGGAAATACAGAGGATCGACCTGGAAGCCAGCCGCACCTTCACAAACCACATCATGTTTCGGGAGCGCCATGGCATCGAGCAGCAGGCCTTACTCCACCTGCCGGTGGCCTGTCTGTGCATGACACAGTGAGGATTCCCAGCCAGTGACATTCCGGGCCTCATTCTCATAGTCACTGGCTTGGGTGTCCCATGGGCCGTGGTTGCTTCTTGAAAATTCTGGATTCATGAGCACCCAGAGCATCCTATTTAGGACGCAGGGTCACTCCTCTCACAGAGGCCCAAGCAAGGAGAGGAAGGTCTCTAAACTAAAACTGGGATGGAGAGGGTGGGGGTCTGGGCTCCTGTTCTTAAGTGGACCTGACCACTGCTCCTCAGAAGGAGAACAGATACCTTCCTGCTGGGCTTGCTCCAAAACCCCAGGAGCTTGGCAGTGTTACAGGATGCTAATCTCAGAAGTGATATTTTGCAAGGATTCTACATACCAAGATTCCCCACACTTCAGAGAACTCTAATTCCATCAGGAGCAACATTGTCAGAAAAATGCTCCCCAAACTGCAGAAGCACTTGGATGACCCAGGAATGACCACAGGAGTGGAAACAAACTGGCCGTTCAGTGCTTTAAGGAGACCCCGTTCGGCCTCACCCTGAGACTTTGGGATGTCTGTTTACTGGAGGGCGAGCATTTGCTTGCAGCTGTGGCCTGCGCCACCTTAGAGGTTCACAGAAAACACCTCCAGAAGCTGCCCCTGGAAGACACGCATGGGTTTCTGCATGACCAGCTGTCTGTGGACTGGGTCCTAGATGATGACAATGAGGTGCTAAGGCACCTTCAGGCCCCCATGGCAGAACTACATCGAGTTAAGTGTGACCTGCCCCCACCCCCCGATTGCAGGAATGTCCTCAGTGTCAGGCCAGGGAGGCCACGCAGCAACCAGGAGCACTCCAGGGACCCAGGTCCATGGGGCCTGTCCCAGAAGGACCAGATAGGCTCTGTGTGGAAGCTGACCACATCTGCTTTCCTTTCAGCAGCACCTGAGGAGTTTCCGAGGAAGGCCCTGAGCCTGGAGCTGGTGTCCCCAGCACCCAGCCCTCGGCTGGCCTTCCTCAGTGTGGAGACCCTTCCCAAGAACAAGGTGCTGGCCCTCTCTGGCCCCCCAGCACAGGGCCAGCAGCTTCGGGAGGCTGAGGCCCAGTGGCAGGAGGGGACCTCCGCAGAGCCCAGGGCTGTGACTCTGTCACTGGGGCCATAGGGACAACAGGACAGGCCACCAGCAGTATGGACCCTCCTTCCGTGGAGCTCACATCCTAACCTCCCCACGGACCTGGACTCTGGGATCCTGTGATTCCTCCGGGACAGCTTGGAGCAGGAGTGCTGGGTCCCTGTCCCTTCCATATGAGCTCTGGCCACCCCCAGGACCACAGAACAGTCCCAGTCCTGCAAACTCACTGAAGTCCCATCACCGGGCCCTGCCCAGCCCAAGCCCAAAGTCACCCCCCAGCACAGTGCTATCTGCATTCAACCTCCCTCAGAAGGAGGGACAGACCCAGTCCCCGAAGAAGCCAGGGCAGCACTTGGCACAGCCCTGCAGCCCCAGACAGCTCCTCAGGTGACTAAAATAGATGTGTGTGGTGAGGCTGGACACTAGTGGGTGACTGGAGAGGAGGGTGAGCGTGGCATCCTGCCAGCCCCAGCCAGCCAACAGCCTGCCCTGCACCCTCATGCCGCTTTACCTGAGGGACCGACTCCCCCTTCCAGGGCTCAAGTATCAGTGCCAGAAGGGCCCAGGCTGGCCCCAACCCAAGACCTGGGAGGGAAGGGGCACAAGGATTACCCCCCACAGCCAGTGTGACAACTGAAGGGACCTATGGCCCTGGCCATTGCTGGAAATTGGGCCAAGGCAGGGAAAACCCTGGCAGAGCACCAGCCTCCATCACACAAGGAGGCCGGGAAGGCCAGGCTTCAGGGCCCTGAGTGGCCACCTGGGCACCGATGGGGCAGATGCCTGACGCCAAGCCCAGGACACTGGGACCCTGCTTCCAAAATTCAACAGCTCATTCTCCAGGAAACTGTGCAGGCCTAGGCCTAGGGGTCCTGGCTCCTAGGTCTGCCTAACTGGGCAGCTGCAATGCAGGTGCCCCAAAACTCAGGAAAGGATGCCCACACAGAGCTAGCAGGCTGCCAGGAGGGGACCAGAGCCCCAAGTCATCTTCAGTGTTGCCTAGGAAGGACTCCCTCCTGGGGTGAGAGAAGCCCTTTTGGACTCAAGCCCAGCTACTAAAAAATAAAGGGTTAGTGTTACAAAATAATAATAATAATGATAAAACTTTCCCAGATTGATAGTAAAGGGCTTTGTTTTAAGGTCAAACGTAAGCAGAAAGCATCTCACGCGGAGGAGTGGCCGAGAAATCTGCTGGGATCTGCGTCAGTCCATACAACAACAATCTGTAAGGAAGTGGCTGGAACAGATCGCCAGCACTGAGTCCTCAAAGCAGAAAATCTGTGCTTTAAAAAACTGAACTTTGTGCAATTTGAGGCAGAGACGGATGACTCCAGCAGCATTTGGAGCTCTGGTGGCAAGAGACATGGACTAGATGGTGAGCAACATGGAAGAGCCCAGTAGCGGGGTACAGAATAAGACACTACACTGAGGACAGGGTCACGGCCAGACCCAGGCCAGGCGGGACTCTGGCCACTCCTGGAGGAGGCGTCACCTTCCCTAGAGAGCACCACCCAGCAGTCACACGTGCACACGATGGCCATTCCTCTCTGGGTTTGAGCTTCCGTTCACATCAGGGGATGTTGGGGAGTTTCTCTGATGTGATCACGCTGAGCTGTGTGTAAAGGTGACAAGCAGACTTCATCCTAAACTTTTATAAACATGGGAATGAAGACAGAGTCAAGGCAAAAGGCACAGTCAAGGACCCCCCTAAAAATCTGTGACCTCCAAAGACCTCTTTTCAGTCTGGCTTTTCCAAAGAGAGAGTAATGAGTAGGTAATCCTCTCCCCAACTTGGAACCCACTTAAGATGACAACGAATAATAATTACCTTCACTGCCTAGGGACTGTCCTCGGCTCCTTGATGTTCCATATTCATGTTCATTGTTCTGGAACTGAATCTAGGTGGCCTCCTCCCCCGTTACAACTCGCTCCACAAATGGCATCTTCTGCAAACAACTAGGTCTAAATTTTTTTTTTAATTTTGATGATATAACACTAAAGCATCTAAGAGAGACCAATAAAAATATTACCTAGACACAAACCAGTTTGAGAAATGAGAGTCACACTAAGCAACAGACATAGCCCCGTCAACAGTATTCTCTTTCTTTACTGTTTTTAAAATGCACCGACTTACCAGGGGAAGACCTGCGAGTGCCCTCCCCGGAGGTTCTGGGAAGAACCCATTTACTTGTGTTTGCTGGATTCCACGTGTGCAAACTGAGGTGAGGACAGACTGGATGTCTTTTTCTGATCGGTCCTACTTTTCCTTCTAGGTTTCTGGAACACTTTTCTGAGTTTACCTCTGTTTTCACCTACTCCCTTTCCTACAGATTTTTACTGCACAGTTTTTATTACCACTTTCCTATAAATGAGGAACATATCAGTAGCAGCTCACTTGCCTAATCAATTCTTCCTGACAGGCTTCTTGATATTTGGGATGGCAAAGTATAAAAGTACAAAGTTCCAAAACTTTTAAGGAATTTTAAAAGTCTAGAATTCCCTGAAAATCCTGAAGCACAGTAGTTTCCCACTTGGTAATGTGACTTTCATCTCTTTCTACAATGCTGGAACAGAGAAATGAAGTGGCAGGTCCATGTCGTGGCCCCAGAAGGACGGATGCATGACATCTGTCACATTTCCAACATAAAGACAGCACACACGGCAGCAAAGCTAACCAATAACTGCATTCTGTAGCTATCTGTGTTTCTCTTAAATACTTCTCTAAAAATGAATCTGTCTCTTGGCATCATCACATTATAACCCACAATGAATGTTAGGCTACCAACTCAGATTAACAGGAAACATCACAAATCAATTCCTTTTAAATCCACTTAAATTAGCTTACGGGTGGAATTTGATCTCAGTCATCACTGGGGCACTGTTCCCCTCCTTAGGGGCACAATTGTCCAAATGGCTTATGCCATGCCTAGGAACTGCGAAGGGGAGTTTTCTAGTCATATATTAATTACTACATTAACAAACTATCCCAAAAGAGAGTGGCATAAGACACAAAAGACTCATATTCTATAATTCCATTTATATACAATTTCTAGAAAAGGAGGAGCTACAGAGTGAGAAAGCAAATCTGAAGTTGTCTGGGGTTGAAGTTAGGAGAGGAAATTAATCATAAAAAGCCCAGTGAAATTTTTGTGTGATAAACATGTCCTAAAATTGACTTTGGTGACAACTGCACATATTTACTAAAAGCCATTGAACTGTACCCTTATTAAATGGGTGGATTTTATAGTGTATGAATTATACATCAATAAGCCTATTTAATTTTTTAAAAAGAACAAAAATCTTGCTGGCATACAACCACCACCATTTCAGCACATCATGGATCCTGTGGTTAGGAATTCAATCAGGGCACTGGGGGCATGGTCTGTCTCTGCTCCACAATGCTCAGGGACTTGGAAGGGAAGATTTGAATGGCTGGAGGCAGCAAGTGGGCCGGGATGGCTGCAGAGTTGGCCACACTTTTGACTGGAGCACCTACACATGGCCCGTCCATGGAGCTTGGGTTTCTTACAGCAGAGCAGCTGGGTTCTGGGATGGAGCATCCCTGGAAGGAGTGTCCAGAGAACTAGCTTGCCAAGGAGCAAGCAGAAGCTGCAAGACTTCAGGTTACAAGCCAATCTCTAGGGCAACTCAGATTCAAGAGGAGAAGAGTTAGACCCCACCCCTTGATGGAGTGTGGCAGGGCCCCATTGGGAAAGATCACATGGGATGAGATACATTGTCGAGACAACCTTTGAAAAATAGAACCTACTGATCTTCTCAACAGAGGCCTCCTTACAGGTGGGCAGGCTGTTCTTTTCCAGGGGGTAACAGAGCTCGTTTATAAAGAGAAACTCTGACACTAGGGTCCTGCCCTCCCCAAAGGTGCCTTTTGCCTTTCACTTACAGGCGCAGGTCCCACCACTCGAGCATCTGCTACCACCTCACTCTGCTCTCCGGGGCTCTCACCCCCTTCCCTGCCCTCAGAGACACCTCAGAAAAATGTCTTTTATGGCTTTCCATTTCATAAGACACAAAAAGTGGCTGCTCTCAAGCAGCAGCATTTATTTAGGATTCTGTAAAATCTCTAAAGCTTGGGAAAGAGAGTGTAAGAGACAGAGAGAGAAAGCCCACCATTTTCTTTAAATTGGGACTGCAAAAGACAGAACAAAACATGCATTGATTTCTCCATAAATTATCCTCCCCCAATTGCAAATGTACACATGCATGCCAGGGTCTGAGCACGCACACAAGAGAGATCTACAAAGAGCTGCAGTAACTTGTATGCATTTTTCAAATAACAGAATCCTGCTTAGAAGCAGAATGCAATAAATAGAAAGAAGAGGGGAAGCTGGTTTCACAGAGATAAGAAAGATTGAATTTTTTGTATTTTTTTGGAGGATAGTTAATGCCATATTTTCTTGCTTTGCCCCCCACTTTGTCACCCCACTTCCCCTGGGCAACAGAGCTGCAAAGGATTACTCAAAGCCCCTCTCTTCTGAGCAGTGAGAGACCCTGAAGTGGTTAACTTCCCTGGGACCCTCCAGCAAGAGGCAACCCTTCCTCGGGAAATTAACCCCAAATTGGGGTTCTCTTCCTGCATTTATTCTTCAGTCCAGGAAGTTACAGGAAGAGACACAGGTGGGGTTATAGTTTAACAACATAGGCTGGTAACTTTCAGTAAAACAAGTCAGATGGCATTCCCTTAGACAATTAAGTGATCCACCAACAAAAGCTTGATCTCAGCAAATATTCCTTCTTACAGCAATTTCTCTGTATCGTTACATTTCAATCACTAACTTGTCTGTCTTTGATCCAGCAGCCTTGCTGTGTTACAACTCTTTATCTTACACCAGAGACTTTATAGCCTGAGGAAAGTTTCCTGTCCTTTGCAAGGTCAATATTTGAAACTGCAAGGTTTTGGAAATCCAGGCCCTGTGAAGTACATTTGCATTAAGAATCCTCTACAATATTTCATATTTGTGGGAGACAGGACACTAATTTTTTTAATCCACAAACACTTTTAACGTAAG